AGAACATCTACTTTGGTGCCAAGGGCATAACAGAAATCTATATTAGCTATGCATCATCCAGAGCAAAAAACAGCATATCTGAACATGATCAAAGCCAACGGTAACAACACATTCAAAGTGCAGAAGTAGAACTATATGGGATGTGTAATAACTGTCTTACCCAAAGGACAAAGTAAACCAGACTGCAGCCAGCTTCATAGTGTTTTCTTTCACTGGGTGGTTGAAACATTTCATGAATGTCAACCAGATCTGATATAAAAGAAAAAGGTTTTGGTGAATTTTATTCATAGCAACCATAAATATTGATTATAAAAGAAAATGCAGCAACAAAAGTGAAGGTTAACAAACAGGACATAAAGAGTCTCCTACTCCTCTGAGTTCAGCCCTGATCTTGAAGAGGACCTTGAGTACAGGGTTGGCTGACTCATTCTGCATCTCTACCAGCTCATCCAGCTGTTTGGGGATTTTTATCCTGTTCACCTGCAGGGGGAGACACTGATCAGTCATCTGCCAATGGCTTTGCAGCAGCAGGAATGATGAAGAGCAAAGCCCGGGGTGTACTCACAGTGAAGACTCTCTCTGGCTCTCCGCGGGCACGCATGTTCGTGTCATGGATGTGTTTGAGCACCATCCAGGCCTCGTCGTGTTTACCCATCTGGGGAATAGTTATCATAATTTGGATATATATGCTGGATTTCAATATTAACACTCCACATACACAGTGAAGTGGGCACTGAATGTCTGTTTTTATTAAAAAATAAATAGCACATGTATGTGATTTATATATCTGTGTGTAAAGTCTATTTCATGTGTTGCACAGTGACCTTCACCTCTATGCCCCAACCCCAGCATCAGAATCTCCACACTGCTGTCCTAATAAGTAAGCTTATTAAGAAGAGCAGGCTGAAAATAAGCTTTTTGCTGTTCTCCTAGGAGAATGATTTTGTTTCATTTAATTTGTTCTTTTTGATAACAGGATAATATAAAGCAATTATTGTACATAAACTTCAGTTTCATGCAAGGGCATCTAACAGATGGTATCCACTTTGTGAGAAAAAAAAAAGCTTCATTGTGTGCCAGTGATTTATTTTTTCTTTGCAGCTTTTTGTTAGGGAGGCAGCATCAGAGAGAGTGACTCTAAGAAACTGAAAAAACTGATAAAGGCTGGCTGAGCTCCATGGGGAATACTCTGAGGTCCATACATGTGTTGTGTAGAGAGGGAAGCGCCACAAAGTGGTCAATGTAATGAACAACACTGCACACTCTTGCTACACATCATACTAGTTGGACAACAGGCTCTGTCAGAGGCTCCTTTAGACTTTTAGTCCTCCAAGGTGGTATAAAAGTCTAAAAGTGGGAAGCATTTAATGCTCACTGCAATAGCCATCTGGAGTTTAGGATTCCACTGTGTGTAGGGAGACTAGACTTCTCCATTGAATGGTAACACATAAAAATGCATACTCTTTGTAACATCTGCTTTTAAGTTTAAAATTCTAATTCTTTTTCTTTATTACACCCCAGTGGAAGTCTTAGTAGTACACTTTGCATCTCCCTCTATGAATATTTTATGTGTAATAATAAATAATGATCAGAAATAATAGAGGATAAATACATCTTCATAAAGTTTCAAATTTACCTGTTACAGTTTTACTTTCCATTTTCATGTTCTTTATATACACTGCTACAGTAGTGAGTGTTTAAGTTTCAAATAATGAGGTCAGCATATGTACAAGTAATTACTGTGATTTTGAGTTTTAACTAAATTCATCGCTTGCCTAATAGGGCGCTAAAGCTCACCTACCTGTAGTTTAATATGTATCTTAGTGGGCAGCCAATCAGAAAAAAGTTGACTTAAAAAGTGACATCAAGATTGTTTTTCACTACGGTCTGATTTTGTCTGATATCCACAAGAATCATAATTATTATTTTCTTTAAATAATAAGGCTAATGGTTCTCTGTAAGAGTGTCTTTTCTTTATAATGAGGAAGACATGTTACCCAGTCCATCAGTGTGGCTCACTAATGTGATTTTAATTGAGCTTTATGGTAAAGAAGAATAAACAAGTTGCAAGCAAGCAGGAACAGTTCATATACTAAACATCTCCTTTACCTCCAGGTAGAAACGGGGGCTTTCAGGCATAAAAGTGAGAGCTACCACAGCAGATACACAGGGCAGCGCACACACCACCACAAACACTCGCCAGCTGTGGAACTGGTAGGCTGATCCCATGCTGAAACTCCAGCCTGCACAGAGAACCATGCACACACAAGGACAGTTAGAAATAATGTGGCATAGCATCACGTTGTGAGCTCAGTCCCCGTTGCACAAGAAAACTTAAATTCAAGCACACATGTATACTTGCTGTAGGGTTTTTTTTCCGTCCCTCAAGGTTGGACAGAAATGCAGTTAGTGGGGTTATGTTAACTGCTAAATTCCCCATAGGTGTGAATGTGAGCGTGAATGGTTGTCTGTCTCTCTGTGTTAGCCCTGCATCAGCTTGGCAACCTGTCCAGGGTGTACCCTGGTTCCCACCCTATTGTAGCTGTGATAGGCTCCAAAACTGAGCATTGCATTAGTTCAGGTGGGCCATGAAGTCAAGTCTCTCAGCATTCCTGTCAGATCAGCTGATCTCACTGGCAGGCCACATGACTCTTTTCGACATCCAACTGGAAAATTTCTTAGGTGTGGTTATTTAAGCTGATTTAGCTGCTTTTACAAAACTGTGCCTGAAAAAAACAGTTTGTGGTGTCTAATGCACTGTATTCACAATTAAGAAAGATTTAATCCTCTCCAAAATGTTATAATAATATTCTAGTAGAGATTCAACGAGTCCCCTTAGGATTTGGTCCCATAATAGAAAAAACAAAAGGGACAAAACATGATGTCTTTAAAATGATCTAATGAAAAAACAAAAATACTTTAATTATCACTTTCTAACGATATGTTGGTCACTGTGTGTTCTGAAAAAGAACAGAGATCTTTTGACACTGGCTCCATTCCAATACTAAAATCTGAAAAACATCAAATACAAAAGTACTCTGTGATTTCTCTAAAAGTTTCAAAAGCTCCAAAGGACATTCTGCAATGACCATCAACAAGTTGTAGCAATATATGATGGAGTACCTATATGTTTAGAAGCCATCCTGTCTACTCACACAGCAAAGTCTGTATGCAAAAATTAACAATAGAAAAGTGTATTAGGATGGACATACAAGTGTGTGTGTGCGCGCGCGTGTGTGTGTGCGCGTGTGCATGGCCTGTGGCGCTGCTCTAGCCTGTACCAGTACAAACCTCATTAGGGGGATTATGGCTATAATGGACTGGAGGAGATGGCTGACTGATTCAGACACTCAGCAAGATTTATGTCCCTCCTCTACAGTAAGTGAACACTGCTGAAATACACATACAGTACACCGACACACACGCACACACACTGTCCTTGGCCATTGCTTAGTGGTATCACACAAATTTTAAAGCATGTACATAGGGTACGTGCATAAACACAGACACACTTGCACACACACAAGCATGCACAAAGACTCACAGACAGAAAAGTCTTAAAGAGACACACTGTCACACACATCACACTTGAACTGGCCATTTCTTATTGTGATTTATGTGCTTCTTTACTTTAACACATTTTTAGCACCTTAAAAAGCTAAAATCACACACACACACACACACACACACACACACACACACACACACACACACACACACACACACACACACAC